AGACTAAGGATATTTGATTTTGCGTTAGATAAGCTCAGTGGATAAGCCTCCATGTTAAGCAATACATTCGACAGAGCGAGCAAACTCAAATCTGGAAGTCAAAGAAATGTGCATCAGCTGTGCTCAAACTCATGTAACGGACATTCTGCTCTAATTCACACGTGATTCACCACATCTACGCAATACGATGGCCACATTCACTCAATGCACTCTTGCATAAATCACAGTTTACCTCACGCAAAGGTAATTAACTCATATGTATCTTTAAAAACTTGATGTTGTTACTAACTAAATCATTAACTGTCATACATAATAACACCACAAACTATATTTTTGATGAACCACTACACTCTTATGCTGCCAGTTACTAACTCTGTCATGGGGCTGTCATATATTTACGATTACTAAGGTAAAGGCACTTTTCTATCAGATTAAAACCTGACACAATGTTCTGGGAACTGTCACAGTTGTATTGACTCACCGTTGGAGTATCTTATCTCTTACATCAGCGACAAATGGTGTGTTTGAAACTAAAGATTAGATTATTGTCAGGATAGGTAAAGGCTCACTATATGATAGCCCTCATTCATCAAAATGGATTGCAGCCTTGGTGGGTATAAGCAGCATGACATTACACACCAGTATGGTCACAGTTTGAGCCAAGCATTTACAGTTATTGAAAACAGATAGAGGCATATGAGTTTGTGTGGTTAGCATGCACAGATTATATGTACATCCCACTTGGATTGGGTTTGCGTTTGGCGCATGGTATAGAGAGTATGTGCTGTTCTTACATGCTAGAAATTCGTTTTTGAATGCTTGCAATAAGGCTGTCAATTTAACTTTAAGTGCATGGTTAACAATATTAATGATTAATAACATGTATAATCTGTATTAATATGTTATATTTATAAATATTTAATTACCAACATCAAAAATGTGGTTAGTTTTCCTACCACTAGCGTAATTCAATAAATATTTTGAAACACCTTTTTCAAAATTTAACTATCTTGACAAGGTATTTTTATACTATATATTCAATAATATGTAAATAAGATAAAAGTACATTGACTCCTGATTCGGTGCTTTACTAATCTACTACAATGCAATGTCTTTAAATAATCTTCTTTAGGGGCATTTCCCCTAAATTTGCATATCATGTAATTCATTTAATTAAAAAGTTTAATCATTTGACAGCCTTTGTTTCCATGAGATGCTGTGGACTGAAGGACATATAAAATATATGTATTTTGTGACTGCACAGCAGCGAGTGTGAGGGACCTCAGTTAAGCTAATAAAACCAGAACCTCCACAAGACCAGCAGTCCATGAGGTCAGGGAAGCAGAGCAGGAAGTATGACATCATCACTGCGCTCCGTTCCGCATGAGCGACGCCGGTGACCCCGCTGGTATTACTGCTCTAATAGAACATTAGGAGATGATAAAATTGCAAATGAACAAGCACAGGAATAAATTTGTCATGTTTTTACAGGCCTGGCTTCCTTGTAAATGTGCAGACGCCATTGCCTTAACATTCCAGATGTGACCCGGGCCTTATTTCATTTTTTCAGCAGTCCCCTTCCTAATGAATGTATATCATATTACCAGCCACCATAATTTACACACAGGAACAGATTCAATGTCCGGTGCACATTAATGTGCAGGCTGGCCCTAACGGTGCTGTGCTGGGGGCTATTTGTTATTATATTCTTCGAAACACTACGCCTGGGGTTGTTTTGCTTGCACACATTCGCATTTATACGTGCTTATGTATTACTATGAATGTATATATACATCTCAGCTTTCACGTTGATGGAAAACAAGGCTGGAAAACACCTGTCAGGGTGCTAAAGACACTCTGAATGGGTCGAAGCAGAGATCGGGTCCTCGTAGCTCATGGCCATACTGAAGGAGCAGAGAAGGTGGGAGGATTGAGCATGGGTTATGATAGCTCTGACTGATAGACAGCTATACAAACGTGCAGATCCGAGATCAGGTTTCTTTCCTGTTTACCGCTCCTAGCTCCCTGCTCGGCCCTTACTGGAAGCCCTGCTACTCACCCAGGAAATGGGCTCTGCTTCCAGACACAGGGCCACCACACACGGCCCATGCTAATAGCATTTATTTGTTTATCTGGACAAACTTTTGGCCCCTTCCTTATTGGATTTGCCCTCTCAACAGATCTCTCCCCCACCCCCCAATATCGTAATGACAGGAGATCGATAGGTAAGGACGAGACCTTCTAACAAAGGCGAGCGAGTGCGAAAAGGAGAGAAGTAGAGGAGAGGCATACTAGATAAATGACACAGTGCCGGTGCAGCAGGGGACCAAGCCATGGACTAATTCTTCCCATCCCTTATGTTCTTCCACCATCCCGCCAAGAAGAGGGTAAAGGAGAAGAGAGCCCGTCGGAGTCACACATCCATACTAAAGCACCACTTTAGGCCTCCCCAGGCTCCCGTGCTTCTCTCAATCATACAGCCCAAGCCCGGGCAAACATAGACGGGCGCCTCCCCCGTGAAGCACCCCTAACGAGGGGTTAACGCAGTACCAGAGCTCCCATTATTGAGTGAATTTAGCACCTTGGACAGCGCACTAAAAATCTTTATTGCTTCGCTGACCCCCTCGTCATGTTCGTGTCTGTGTGTTGCATCTGGGGCCGCCGGGGGGAGGCAGAGGGGGCTGATTGAAAGGCAATATGTCGGCTGGCAGGCAGGCACACATGCTCGGGGGCTTGTTCGCAGCGAGGGTTACACACCGAGGGTGAGAACAATTTTCTGGTTGTCGCACTGCGAGCTTATTTCCTCAGCACCGGCACATTAACTTTTAAAAAGGGTTCCACTGGACCTTCAGGGTTTAAAAACAAATGAAGAGGAGAAGAGGGCTTGGAAGAAAGGAAATGAATACACAGTGTAAAGAACACTGTAAATAAATGTTTAATGTGTGAAAAGGATGGTAATAAATAGGTTTTCGGTTATGGAAGTGAAAGTCGATTACCTGGAAGGAAAATAGTGTTACTGTAGTTCTTGCCTCCTGTGGAGCAGTCGTTTGCATGTACTAACATGCATGTATTTGCTTTAAATGTGTTTGTATTCATGTATTATACATGGAAACGGTGGCAGTATTGTTGGTAGGATGAGCTAGATGAAGTACGGGACTGTTAAAGTGTTTTCTAAGACGTAAACTCTCTAAAAATGGTAGGGGAGTTGTGGTCAAGGATATCGGCTAGCAATTCAAAGGTCGCATGTTCAAACCCTGTCAGGGGTGATCTATGAACTGAAGAGCTACGTTAGCATTTTGCCCTTTAGCAAAGCACTTAACCTGATGTTGTTCCAAAGGGACTGACCCTGTAGTAACTGTACTGTAAGTTTGTTTGTGCCTGTCGAGTGTCAAGTAACCAAATAGACTAAAAAAACTGAATAAATAAAAAAAAACATTGCTTTCTAAACGTTCTTAAAATGCTTAATTTCATAAAAAATAATGGCATATGATATTAAGACTTGTTTTCAGAAAATGTCTTGAAATATGTTTTTCTTTTTTTCCCATTTTATCCATTATTTTATTCCATTTTATCAGTTATATTATCATCAATTGTCAAGTAAATTGATCTAGTGAAGATTATGTTTTGTGCATTTGGCATCAAAATTGACATGGAAAGCTAAAGTGCCACAATCATCTTTTCTGTCTATAAGGAGGTGATTCTGAAGAGGGCAGCAGACCTGGTGGAAGCTCTGTATGGGATGCCACACAATAATCAGGTGAGATTCAATTGAACACAATGAAACTTCAAACCATAAGCACTCAGATACAAACAGGGCCTCATTCAGTATCCATGCATATACATGTATTTGTGCATAAATCTGTTTAGGTGCATTTTCATGTAGAAATCACAATTAAAAAATCATTTGGGTGTAAAATGTACTCTAAATTTAATATGACATTTTATAATTTTTAGAAATCACATTCTAAAATTAGAATCTAATCTTAGAAATAAATAATCTGTTAAGACAGTTTTTAAAAATATTTAACATTATTAGAATTTGAAAAACTCTAAATTCTAAAATGACTTATAAAAGTAAGATTTTGCTACACATTCTCTAAGGCAAGTGTGCATGTGCACAAGAGAGTGAAAACTGTATAATTAGTAAAAGAGGCACATTGTCTTATAGGATCAGTGTAAATAATGCCATGTTCCACATTTCAATGGTTTAATTGAGCAGCACAGTTAAGCATTTGTTCTCAGTTAAGGCCATTTTAGAGCTTTAAGACCGTAGAATTGTTCTCTACTATTCCCTAACATTTTCCCTCAACATAAACCCCCCAATGTAATTCCTCCAGAACTCTCTCTCTCATTGGTTTGAAGGACCACAAGGGCATCTTCAATGTTAGATCAGTTATGAACTGCTAGTGAGGGCATATGCTCATCGATTGAGAGCTGAGCATGAGTGCAGTGATGCTGAATTATTTAGGCTGGGCAGTGGATGGAGCATGACTCCAGTCATCAACCCACTCAAAGAGCTCTCTCTCAGGAACCCCTATCTCCCCAACCTCCTCACGGTCCTGTCGTCTTTATGAGGGGAAATTATGAGACATTCATTTTCCATCAAAATGTGCAGCTCCCCCTTCCCCAGCCCCCAAAACTAGTTTTTTTTTTTTTTCTCTATCTGGGCTGACTATCAGATAAACACATCTTTCACAGACTCCCTTATTCACTTATTCATATGATCTTATTTGACCAAGGTGTATTTTATCTGGCAGCTCATAGGTTGCCCGTGCTTAGATATAATCATTTTAAGAAAGAATTGCAGTGGGTATGTTTTGGTTTTTAAATAGTTGTTTAATATTTTTTAAAAAGTACTATTTTCACTTTTTATTTTTCAATTTTTTATTTCATTTTTTTATTTTATTGAGTTATGGTTATTTATTTAGTCAAACCATTATTATTTATACTGAATGATTATTTGAAGGACACTGTTTTTTTGTTTTTTTTCAGGCAGTTAATAATATCCTTTTAATCGTTGGTCCATTTTTGTGTTGATCCTGACAGGAGATCATTCTGAAAAGAGCAGCAGATATCGCAGAGGCACTCTACAACGTCCCACGTGGACACAACCAGCTGCCAGGTCTGGCCAACAGCTCAGTCCACGCTGGCATGATGGGAGTCAACTCCTTCCATGGCCAGCTCGCTGTCAATGTCTCTGAGTCCGCACAAGGAGCCAATCAGGGTGAGCAGAGATGCCACCAATCTTATATTTTGACCATTCACAAAAAAGTGATTGCCTATGAGAGTTTGTGTTTGTGTGTGTGTGTGCAAAGAGAGATATTAAGGGCCAAATTCACTTGTGCACATGGTACTCTAGCGCACCTGCAACTTATTCTCTAACCACTCTCAATCCAGTTTAACCAGGTGCTAAATGCACTAAAATATGGCTCCAATGTTTTAATAAATCATTGTCAGTTTTCCATTTGACTCCCTTTTATATAAGAGGGATTCTGTACCGTCTCAGTAAAGTGTGCCAGATCACAGTATTCAGTAGTCTGCTGCGTCCTTCAAACCTTAGGCAAGTAGGTGAAAACTAGCAAGATATACCGCATGCAGACAGATACAAGCGTTCAGCAATGCTCCCTGAACCTCCAGGCTCCTTTACCTCAGCATTCCTTGGCCTCTGTGACAGTGAATGATTTGTGTTAAGTCAGCAGTAATGTATCAGTCGTCTGATGAAAGGGAGAATGAATAGTAAGCAGAGCAGAGAAGAGCGCTGCCTTTGTATCAGACAGCGGGGACTCCTGCAACGAGAACTTCCTGCTGCTTTCACCCATGTCAGCGTTTAATGTCCTGATGTATATTTATAGTCCATATCCTCCTCCTGTCCTATCTACCTCCGTACGCCACTGACACACAGATCTTTTTTTAAGGAATAGTTCACCCAAAAATGAGATTTCTGTCATCATTCATTCATCCTAATGACGTGTATGACTTTATTCCTACCGTGTAACAAAAGAGGAGACATTTAGTAGAATGCTCACAGTGCTCTTTTCCATACAATGAAAGTCAATGATGAGCAGGAGCTGATTCTGTTCATTTCTAAATATATTCTCTTTCTTTCCTATTTTTTTCCTCATTATATGTGTGTGTTTTAGGTTTCAGTCGAAACACAAGCAGTGTATCCCCTCACGGTTATGTACCCAGCACGACACCCCAGCAGAGTAGCTACAGTACCGTCTCTACTAGTATGAATGGATACGGCAACACAGGCATGACCACGCTGGGAGGGTCGCCCAACTTCCTCAATGGCTCTGCTGCCAACTCTCCTTATGCCAGTGAGTACTGATCCTCTCTGTGTCTGTTTTTCTCTCCTTTTTTAAGATTTTTTAAATTTACCATTACCATTCTTTTTTCTTTTTTTTTAAAGAAATTGTTACTTTTATGCAGCAACACATTCAGGACAATTAACTAAAGACTTTTAGATTGTTACAATTATTTCTATTTCAAATAAATGCTGTTCTTTTGAACTTCCTATTCATCAAATAATCCTGAACAACTGTGATAATTATAGGAAATGTTTCTTGAGTACCAAATCAGCATATTAGAATGATTTCTAAAGGATCATGTGACACTGAAGACTGAAGTAATGATGCTGAAAATTCAGCTTGGTCATCACAGGAATAAGATACATTTTAAAATATATCAAAATGTAAAACGTCTCAGGTTACTTATGTAACCATGGTTCCCTGAGTAGGGAACGAGACACTGCATCCTCTAGGGGTCGCTATGGGGAATGCCTCGTCGTGACCCGTGTCTGAAGCATACATTCAAAAAACACCAACAACATGTTGGCCGGCGACAGCCCATGACGTCACTACCGGTGCGACTATAGTATAAATAGGCGCCGGGAGAACACGTCATTCACTTCTTCGTCTGAAGCTTGCGTCCAAAGCATGGCAGGAAACCTAGAGGACGCAGTGTCTCGTTCCCTACTCAGGTGTTCTCCCGGCGCCTATTTATACTATAGTCGCACCGGTAGTGACGTCATGACTGTCGCCGGCCAACGTGTTGTTGGTTTTTTTTGAATGTATGCTTCAGACACGGGCCACAACGAGTCGTTCCATGGCAGGAAACCTAGAGGACGCAGTGTCTCGTTCCCTACTCAGGGAACCATGGTTACATACACTGAAAAAAATGTTTAATTCAGATAAACACATCTATATGAAACATTTTTTCAGTGTAAGTAACCTGAGACGTTGCCTTTTCAAGGGAACTTCGAACTGCGTCCTCTAGGGGTTGCTATGGGGAATGGTATACCCATGCCACCATGCTGAGGGGAGTGCATGCCAGAAACCTATGGCGAGCACTAAGTACCAACTCTACCATAGCCATGGGAGTTGCCCCTAGGACGTTAGACGGCTGTCCGTGACATTATCCCCTACGGCCAAAGGCCTGGGCTACATACACCAAAAAACTTATCTGTTAGGGCCAGACTCCTGGGCCCGGGGTAGAGCTCAAGGCTTGGAATCAGGAATATATTCCTTTAAAGGGATACGACCAAGAGCCTAGCATCATACTAAGTCTTGGCCTGTCAAAAAGCCCACGGAGCGAGAAATCCAACTCCTCAGAAAGGGAGAGAATTCAAATGATCGAAAGAAAGCACCATGCTCACAATAACCCTCAAAGGTGAGGGGAGCGATGCTTCAAAAGTGTGTCAACAGAGACACACTGGTTGAGTGGAGCCAAAGGCGAGTACCGGGGTCTAAGCCAACTGAGAGAAAGGGAACGAGGCTAATAACGCGTAACCCTTACCATACGGGATTTCAGAAAGTGTGCAGAGTCTTAGCATGCACACTTACGACTATGTGGATTTTAGAAAGTGCGCAAAGTGCTCAGCGTGCACACTTACCACTATATGGATTTCAGAAAGTGCACAAAGCTTAGCAAGAGGGGATATCCTGGTGACCAGGAAGCCCCTCAGGGCGACCTAGATACGGCGTACCAGACAAGGCAGCCTGAAAGCATAAACCCAGCTCGGACGTCCAGGAAATTTTGCAGTGCTTTGCCGGGGGCCTGATGATCAAGAAGGCTCCCGCAGAAGCCTATGATCTGGCCGCATGATCCAGGAAGCATGAATCTTACCGACTATCTTACCGACTGGATACAACATCGACGAGTGAGGTAATCACTGCAAGTCGAGAACCTGGTTTCTGAATCCAGCAGAGGGGGTGCTCACTGAGGACCTACCCTAGAAAAGGACAGAAACACACAGGTCCCGGAAAACACTGCAAAGAAAGCTCGCAGATGGAATACACACAACCACCAGCGCATTAAATATATTTTTATAAAAATGGATCGTACTCACCCACCATGGTTCCCACGCAGGAGCCCTGTTCAAGAAGTGACCCGAAGAAGCCTCTAGTCCGGACCATCAGTAAGGTGGTTACTA